CACCCTAATTAATCTCAGTTTGCCAATAAGACTGGTCCTGCTCCATACTCCTCTAATCCTGTCTCTTATTCCCCTAGCCTTCAGAATCATAATCAAGTGATGTTCAATAATAAAGGAAGCTCATACCCTACAAATAATTTCAAGCAGAGGAAGAATCAGCTGTATAGTGATTACTGCAGTTTCTAAGGTCATACTAGGGAAACCTGCTATAAGCTTCATGGCTACCCCTCAGATTTCAAATCCAAAAAGAAGCATCCTTCAGCAAACTCAGCTGCTTATACTGGAGAGAATCAGTTCTCCAACAACGCTATGCCAATCTATGGGAATTCTTCAACATCACAAGCAGTAGGTCATCTCACCAACAACCAGTTTGCTCAGAACCGGCTTGCTCAGACTGCAATAAGTGGAATCCCTCAATTTACACAGGAACAGTACAATCAAATCATGCAGATGCTTGGAAAAGGAAGTAAGGATATTGGCTTAGCCATGGCAGCATGTATGATACAAAATGCAACCCTTCCTGAAGATAAGCCTAAGGGGATAATTGACACTGGAGCTTCTAATCATATGGTGTATAGGATTGATATGTTGTTTGATTTAAAACACTTGGGACGGACTAATGTAGGGAAAGTGTGTCTACCTACAGGAGAGCTAGCCACAGTAAGACATCTAGGCTCCAAATACATATTTCCAGGCCACAAGATAACTAATGTAATGCATATACCTGAGTTTAGATACAATATGTTATTTGTCTCAAAGATTACAAAGGAGCTGAAGTATGTAGCTATGTTCTTTCCTGACTTTTGTATATTTCAGGATCTCTTCAGTAGACAGGTGAAGAGGATTGGTAAGGAAGACTATAGATTGTATGTGCTCACATCTGGGAGTATAATACAAGCAATGGAGGATGCACCTACTACAAGAAATTCAAGTTCTGTTCCAAAATCTCTCACTGTAAATACCACTGAGTATACTAGAATAAATGTTTCCCTATGGAATAGGAGGCTAGGTCATATACCTTTGGATATACTAAAGAAAGTAAGTGAATTTCAGTCTGTGAAATTTGATGATACTGAACACCATTGTACTGTCTGCCCAGTTGCTAAGCAAACAAGATTACCCTTTCCTCTGAGTACTTCCACTACTCATTCTAACTTTGATATCATTCATGCTGATGTGTGAGGCCCTTACAGGGTTCCTACCTATGATGGAAGAGATATTTTTTAACTATAGTTGATGATCATTCTAGATTCACATGACTCTATCTATTACCCTCAAAAACTGAAGTAATTGTAATTCTTAGGAACTTTTTCTTAATGGTTAAAGCTATTCATTCCTCTACTGTCAAAGTCCTAAGAACAGACAATGGCTGTGAGTTTTTTAATACTCAAATGACATAACTGCTCAAGTCACTAGGCATCACTCATCAAAGCTCTTGTGTTTACACTCCATAACAGAATGGAGTGGCTGAGAGAAGGCACAGGCATATACTCAATGTAGCAAGGACACTCAGATTCCAAGCCTCAGTTCCACTCAGATTCTGGGGAGAATATGTTACTACTGTAGCTTATCTTATAAACAGGCTACCTACCTCAACACTTAAAGGTAGAACACCATATGAAATATTGCATGGTGCTCCTGCTTCTCTCACTCATTTGAGAGTGTTTGGCTGCCTAGGCTATGTGTCAGAGGTAAGAAGAATTGATAAATTTGCTCCTAGAGCTGTTCCTGCAGTTGTTTTTGGATATTCTATGGTTCAAAAGGGCTATAAGATGTATATACTAGTCTCCAGGGAATTTATAGTCAATAGAGATGTGGTGTTCAAGGAGGATGCCTATCCCTTCAGACACACTATCTCTCCCATATCATTAGTATTTTCTATTTTAGAATTCTCCCCTGACACTAGTTCTGGAAGCAATATAACAGTATCTCCTCAAAATACTATAGACCTATCTAATACACAACCTGCTGATCCCTTAGTGTCTGCTGAAATTCCAAACTTATCAGCTGCTTCAGACACCAGTACATCACCAGATATAGAGTTCTCTACTGAGGCTTCAGCACCAGTGCCTCATCATTAAGTACATGAACCTAGCAGAAAATCTCTAAGAGTGTCTAAACCACCACTGTGGATGAAGGACTTTGTGGTTTCAACTCATAGGAAGTCCAACTGTTGTTATCCCATATCAAACTATGTGAGCTACAACAATATTTCTTCTTCCTACAGTGCTGCACTCAGTGCCTACTTATATATTATTGAACCACAGTCCTACAATGAAGTAGTTCAAAATCCTAAATGGATTGCTGCTATGAAGTTAGAAATTACAGCACTAGAGGAGAACAAGACTTGGAGCATTGTTGATTTTCCAGAAGGAAAGGTGCCTATTGGATACAAATGGGTTTTTAAAATCAAATATACAGCCTCATGAGCAGTAGAAAGATACAAAGAAAGTCTAGTGGCTAAAGGTTACAGTCAACAAGAAGGACTGGACTATACGAAAATTTTCTCCCCTGTGGCCAAGATGGTCACAGTCAGGTCAGTTATAGCAGTTGCACCAGCTAAGCATTGGCACATCTTTCAAATGGATGTGCACAATGCCTTTCTTCAAGGGGATTTGCTTGAAGAAGTGTACATGGACATCACACAAGGTTTTTCTACCCAGAGAGGGACATACAAAGTATGTCGATTATACAAATCATTATATGGCCTCAAACAGGTACCACGATAGTGGAGCAAGAAGCTAACTGATGCCTTGCTACAACTTGGTTTCACTCAAAGTTATTTTGATTACTCCTTATTCACTAAGAAAGTGCAGGACAGACCGGTGCTTGTCTTAGTCTATGTTGATGATCTTTTGATTACAGGGAGCTGTCCTCAGCTTATTATGCAGACTAGATGTGATCTGCAACTCAAGTTCAAGATGAAAGATCTTGGTGAGCTTAAGTTTTTCTTAGGCATTGAGTTTGCCAGATCAAGGGAGGGTATTATCATGAATCACAGAAAATATTCTCTAGAACTAATTGCTAAGCTGGGACTTGGAGGAGCTAAACCTGCTAGTGCTCCATTAGAGCACAATCAAAAGCTCACCTCTGCAGACTATGGCAACTTCATCAACACTCAAAGCACAGACAAAGACAATGCACATACAGATCATCTGCTACCTGATGCTAGCCAATATCAAAGGCTAGTAGGGAGACTTGTGTGTTTGACAATGACCAGAGCAGACATTGCCTTTGCTGTTCAGGTCCTTATCTAGTTTATGCATAAGCCCAAGCAATCTCATATGGAAGTTGCACTAAGGGTAGTAAGGTACATCAAGAGTGCACCTGGCCTAGGATTGATGATGCCCTCTGAAAGCTCTGGAAAACTAAGAGCCTACTATGACTCAGACTGGGGAGGCTGTGTGCAGACTAGAAAGTCTGTTATAGGCTATCTAGTGAAGTTTGGAAATGCCTTAGTCTCTTGGAAGTCAAAGAAGCAAGACACTGTGGCAAGGAGTTCTGCAAAAGCAGAGTTCAGAAGCATGGCTTCAGTAGTGGTTGAATTAACCTGGTTAACACGTCTATACAAAGAATTAGAAGTGTAGGTTGAAGTTCCTATTGATTTATACTGTGACAGCAAGGCTGCAATCTGGATTGCAGCCAACCCTATATTCCACGAACGCACAAAACACATTGACATGGATTGTCACTTTGTGAGAGAAAAAATTATTCAAGGTTTGGTAAAGACACACTATGTTTCTACAAAAGAAAAACAAGATGATCTATTGACCAAGAGTCTGGGAAAGCCACAACATGATTACCTACTATCCAAGCTGGGGTTGAAAGATGTGTTTCAACCATCAACTTGAGGGAGGGTGTTGAAGAATCGAGTATGAGCCAAAACAGTCAAGCAGCTCTTCCAGCTTATTCTGTTAGGCAGTTAGGACCTTAGGTGACAGCTGTTACCAGCTAAGTTAATAGAGGTAGTTAGTGGAAATTAGTTAGAGTTGGTTAGATGTACTTGTATATATACATAGCTTCTGTACAAAAGTTAGTAGCAAATTTCATTATATGAAATGAGTTCATTCTTTTCTGCTTTGCTTTCATTTCTTCTCTCTAACTCGATCAATTAGTTTTATAATTCAACAAATATATTGTTCAATTTTAGCAAGGGATTCTAGTCTTGCTAAATTTAGTGAGTAATAATCTCTTATTCTTCCTAAAAGGCTATATAGCTCCTCGCTAATTTTGAACTATTTAGGGAGATTGGTCCCGCACTAATAATATTCTAGTACCAATGTAGTTCTTCAACAATCTAACACCAAAACACAGGAAGCTGTTCGAACTCAATATTAGAGGTCGATACTCGTGCTACCCAATCTCAATTTCACATGTTAAATTATTAGTCTAGTTAGTGATTGGAAGAGGAGAGGCAAGTATGAATTTTAACTAGATTAAGAAATTACTTTTAAAGTATCTATTAGGAGGAGTTATGTCTGTTGAGAAATAATTATCTTAACAGATTCTAAAGGTATATATTATAAACACCTGCCATTTGCCTCCTAAATGTACACACACCGAATTTTATTTTACCAACAGTTTACTTCTCTTCTTGAACTCAAAATATTCCCACCGTATTATTAAAAAAATTCGACCTAGTTGTTGTACTTGTATTTCGTTTGACTTTACAAAATCTATCCATCACCAACATAGTGGGGGAAGAGTAGTAGGAAACGACCAAAATATGCTTTTCATAAAAATCAAATGCCTGTTTCTAACTAATTCCAGAATGATGTAGTTGACAATTGACACTTAGCAAGATTTGCATATCTAATTGTCATTATCCAAGACCAACCAACCAAGCTGTCGAAGTGAAAAAAAGAAAGAAGTAATTTAAGACTTTCAAAAATAAAAAGCTAAAATTAATGTACTGCACAAGCTACATTCATTTTCTTTATGAAAGAGAAATAACATTGGGTGACAAAGTATACACATTCAGAACAATTATACTCATCTCAATCAAAGAATTCAAACAAACACCACAAATCTTTCCTTTTATCTCCTATCGAATTGATAGTTTTGAAGGAATATACAGTAATTATAATAAAAAAGAGTGAAATTTTAAAAAAAAATGTAAACATGAAATAAATCACACATTATCAACATGCTTGTCGTTCCAACAAGACAAGTCTTAACATGGTAGAAAGTCCCATACTTTCACCATTATAATTCTTGACTTAGTTAAATTTTAGGTTCAACTCCTCTTGAGACCCAATGAAAGAAAAGAAAAGAAAAAAAACTTAAACAAAAAAGTGATTTTTTTTTGTACAAAGAGATCTCGCTCTAGAGAAAAATAAAACAATCCAAGGCAATAAGAGGATTGTTAATGTCCTCCATGAGAAAGGAGTCCAAATCGTGACTTGATTTCACTTCTCCAATTTCCATTTCATCGATCTTTGGAGAAACCTGAAGTGCATTTCTCATTTTTCCTTCACGTTTTGGAGTAATTGCTGGCTGATTATTATTGATATGGTTCTCTCTTCTCAAAGACGAGGATCTTGATAAAATATTCCCATTATTCCCTTTGGAAACAACCGATCTTCTAAACGAGCTGTCACCGTTCAAATTTGAGGGAAATCTTCGACTTGGAGATGGTGACTTAAGGGTTGTTCTATTAGGAAAATGATGATATGTAGAAGTAGCATTTAGAGTATTGTTACCAATATTTCCTCCCTTGAGTTGTTGATCAGGTTCTTTTCTAAAACTCTTTTGTCGAACTATTGTTGGCGAATTGGCACGTGGCCTTTTCTTAGGGGTTGTCGAATTGCACTCCCTTCGAGGACTAGGTGGTTTCGATAAAGAGGATGATGATGATGATGATCGCAACATGGTTGATGACATACTTTGAGTAACACAAGTAGTTCCTTTATTTATTTTCTTGATGTCAAGTATATGGTCGTGTTCTTGGGCACAAGATAATAAGAAGTCGTTCGAGAAAGAACGATCCTTGAAACAAGAGGATGAAGAGGAGGAAGATGACGACGACAAAGATGAAGATAATGTTGTGTTAGTCACAATAGAGGAAAACGAAGAAAGAGATACTGAAGAAGATGATGAAGAAGGAGAAGAAGAGACACGTTTTTGAATAGTTGAAGAAGAAGAAGGAAGAGAAATTTTTGGAGATATGGGAGCTTGTGAAATCACAAGCTTATCTCTAACACATTCATGGTTATCAAGGTGATTATCTTCTTCTTGGAAATCTTTTTGGGGGTTGCATTTACTAATGCAAGAACCCATAGTGGGAAAGGTAGGAGGAATTGAGAATTAGAAGAAGAATAGAATTGATGGGAAAATGTTTGAATGGTAAACGTTGATAAGTCTATTTTTATATGAATTAATACATTATATGAACGTGGAAAGCATATAGTTCAATATTGGGGAGGAGGGAAAAAGTGCAAAGGTGGAAGCTTTTGCTTTTCACCAAATATATTTGAATTATGTAGCCGGGTATAATGGATATCCGTTATATAACGGTTATATGAAGCAAAATGATGGGTTTTTTTCACTTTTCCTTTCTGCCTTTTGGAATGTGCAAATTGAAACCTTAACCAAGTTACTAGGTTGGCTTCTACTTTTAATTTGCAGGAGTCCGATTAGGAGAATATTGTTAATTTCTTATTGTATTTTGAATATTTTTACTTATTATTTTTTTCATTCACAAAGCTGCTACTCCTTACGTATTATATTTAATGACTCAGTTTGATTTTCCAAAGTCGAACTAACTCAATTTCTTGAGAGCCTACATCTAATTACTAGTTAACTTATTTGAATTACCTTCATTAGTAACACGCTCTAAGATCTTTTTAGTTTGAATTAGAGAATAATACATAATGTTGAAAAAATGTCGCCAAAGAGGCGAAGATTTACTAATATTTAATCCTTACAATTAAAAAAAATCTTACGGATATATTGAAATATTAATTTGATAATGTTTAAGTTTGAAAACTTTTAATTTTGTTTATCCGTAAAACTGTAAAATTGAATTTATACGTGGTTTATAGACAAGTGAATTAATTTGATCCTAAAATAATAGATGAATTAGACAAAAATATAAGACTTAGCCTTGTAATTAAATGATACAACAAATATCTTGATCCCGGGCGCAGAGCTTCCAGGGGCAATAAGAAGAGTATAAATAAGCTAGAAAGCAAAGTGTTATTGATCTTTTCATAGAATAATTTGTATGCTTGTTAAAGAATTCGTGTCCTTTACAATGATAATAAAGCTCACTATTTATAGTTGTACATAGAGAACAAGGTCCTAGGATCAAGCACATCTTTAATGACAATTATGAGTGCCATTGAAGAATGTGTAACGATAGGCAGTGAATGTCATATTCCTTGTGACGGGCAGTGTACTTAATGCTATAGAATATTCCTCATTAAATGCTACCGGGCGGTAGACATTTATTATATCTTTATGAGTATCATTCTCTCCAGTAACAGATGAGACTGTTGCCTCCGGATTCAACTACCTTCTATATTCGGCTCCACATGTCACTTTCTCATGTGATCATTTAATATAAACATATTTTACCTTATAAAGATAGTCCCCATACTTTTCGGTGGCATAACTTTGTGTCACCAGGAAGTTGGTAGAAACACCTTTTTTGACAAAAAATTCTCTGACCCCCTGTGAAAAATTTCTGACGGTTGATTAGACGCACGTCTCACTGCATTTAATGCCCCGAACACGCGTCATCCCATGATTTAGCATCACTTTTGCCCGTTATCGAGGTAATTATGGCCACATTTTTAGCCGTCTATACCTTTACTTATACGCATCAAATTTCATCATTTACACTTCATAATTCTCTAAACTTTCTAAAACTTTCTTTACTCAACTCGTACTTTGTCTTTAACCTTGCTTTAACTTTCTTCTTGAGAGAAAAATCTTCCTTCCTTTCTAATAAAAAATGGCCTCTTCTTCTAGAAACCCTAGTTCTTCAAAGAATAAAGGTAAAACTGATGATGATTCTCCTCATATAGTGAGCTCCATCATCCCATAGAATCTTGTCACTACTAAAGATTTTGAAGAGAAGTATCCTTCTACTCATCCGCGTACATGGGCCGTTAGCGTATACCATTCTTCCATCCGTACTTCCAGTATCCCTGCTGTGAAGGAAGACTGCCATTGTCAAGGTTTAGACATTATCGATCCCAACCTGGCGGAGCGGATAACCTTATCCAAGATGGGTTTTATGTATGTTTATACATAACTTCACTTTGGGACCATTTTCTCTGAGTGGAGAGCCTGACTCCATCATCGTGGAGTTCTGCATCCTCTACCAGGTGTGCTTGGCTCAAGTATGTCCTTCTGTGTGGAGGACAGTCGCTTGTCTTAGGCTCCTGTGCCAAGAGACAGGAGAAGAGCTAACCCTAGCTCGATTGATGAACATTTATTCCCCCAAGATCTTCCGTGGGGGAATGATAAATATTAGCAAGCACGACCACCATGCTCTTCTATCCAACATGGATGATGACAACGACCGTGGGTGGATGGAACAGTTTGTTTTAGTCGCCACCAGTGAAATCATCTCGGCCACGACTTCATCCTTTCTGGAATTATGGAACCGCACTCGTAAGTTTATAATTTTTTTTTCTTCCATTAAAAATCATTCCACATCATTATTGACCCTTCTTCTTTCGCTTATTTCAGCGACTCGGTGGGTACCACCAAGGGTTGAAGGCTTGGGATAGTGGGTCCAGAAAATTTTGGACGTTACTACGCCTGAGACCTGCACGTGGAAAGAACTGGCCCTTAAATACGGGTGGAAGGCCAAAAATCATGGTAAGTCAAACTCTTCTTGCTTTTAACTTTTCGTGTAAGGAAGTTGTTTAACCTTTCTCTCCTGTTGAATTCAGGTCTAACCCGGGGCTCAGTTGTCGTCCTCGGGGAGGACGTTTTGGCTAATCCTGTTGCTGTGGCAAGGCTGCTGCAGGAATCTTTTACACATACAGGTGTCTCCGGGCCTGCTTCTGGTGCGAGTGCTTCTTATAGAAGAACTCAAGCGCCGAGCGACTTCCCTCGTTGTTGAAACAATATATGCAATGTTCAACATGAGGAGAAAAACCTTGGAAGAGGCTAAAGAGGGTGTCATTGACTTTGATTCCGAAATCGCTAAAGCCCGTGAGCAGGAGTTAGCTGCTAAAAGGTCTTTCGGCCAGGCCTGATGCTTCCAATTCTTCTGGTTCCGGTTCTGAATTCTTGGGAACTGAAGAGGAACTGGAAGGCGATGATGCTAAAGTCCAAAATGACGAAGTCCAAGATATCAAACCGGCGGTGGATCTACCCACTTCTCTCTAGGGCGCGGATGCTTCTCTTCCTCCGAGTTCTGGAGATGCAATATCTTAGTTTTTGATTTTCTTTTCCAACTTTTGTACGTGTGCCGTTTGGCACATTTATTGTAAATAAAAACACTTTTTCGTTCAAGTATTGTATAAGTTTTCCTTTATGCGTATTTTTGTTTAAGTGTTTGTGCAAGTTTTACTATTTGCGTTTGATCATGCAAGCTTTCGGGTGTATTTTTCCTCGAAGGCATTTAGATTCCGGGCATAAGTTCATCTGAAACCAACCCTTTAACGTGAGGATTTTCATAAGAGAGGGCCCTCTTATGTTTACGGTGCTCTTGAAGAGGACATCTCTTGTTCATTACGACACTGACATTTGAAGTACTTGTTTAACTTTCAAATGATAAAATAAATTCATCGTTCAGACAAGAAACAAGATAGAAATAAAAGGACTTTACTTTATTCCTTTAATTTTCAAAAGTACATAAGCATTCGTTTTGCTAAAACGAAATTGTCATTTCTTGTGGCTAACTTGTACAACTTGTTTCTACGGGGTTGGTCGCACAGTCCCCGGTCTCTATGATACAACTATGCTTTTGGGTTTCGTATTTCGGTCGAAGCGGTAGTCGTTGTTGCCTTATCCTCATATCATCCCCCCCCCCNCCCCAGTGTTCGAATGTGAAAAATTCAAATTTGAATATTGGAAGTTTTACACCTTCGAAGATTCCACTAATGAATGGCTAGATAATCTTCAGTTCGGTAACAAACTTCACTTCCCCTTAGGAATTTATGCCATTGAGCTAAAGATTATCTAACAATCCCAGTGGCTTGCACTTGTGAACGGTCGGATAATCTTTGTTTAATAGCAAACTTAACTTCCCGGTAGGAACTTTGCTATCGAGCAAAAGACTATCTAACTGCTCCGGAGTGGTTCTTTGCTTATGTGCCTTGTCATTAAAAGGTCTTATTGTTTCTGTTGAATCTTTCGTAGTATGCTTTCCGTTGCTGCCTCGTTAAAAAACTTGCCAGAAAAACCCAATTGGGACAAAAACTAGACGAAGGGAAAAAACGTGCAGCACATACTTTTAGTACAGGTAATGTTCATCAGCAATAGTATCTCTTGAGGTATGCCACATTCCAGTTGCTTGGCGACTTTTCTCCATCTTGATTCTCCAACTTGTATGATCCTTTCCTGGTGACAGTTGAAACCCCGTAAGGGCCTTCCCATGTTAGACCTAGCATCCCTGCATTGAGCTCTCGGATGTTCTGAGTCACTTTCCTTAAAACCAAGTCTTCCACTTTGAAATAACGGAGGTTGGCTCTTCGATTGTAATATCTTTCTATTCTCTACTTTTGGGCTGCCATCCTTATATGTGCCAAGTTCCTGCGTACATCGAGCAACTCCAAATTGACCAACATTGCTTCATTGTTTGTTTCTTTATTCGGCCGAAAATATGTTAGGGTAGGCTCCCCTACTTCCACTGGGATCAGCGCTTCTGTTCCGTATACAAGGGAGAAATGAGTGTCTCTCGTGCTTGCTTTGGCCATTGTTCGGTACGCCCATAATACACCTGGCAGTTCCTCAAGCCATTTACCTTTAACTGCTTCTAATCTCTTTTTGAGATTTTGTATAATCACGTTGTTCGTTGATTCTGCTTGACCTTTCGCGCTAGGGTGATAGGGTGAAGATGTGATCCTTTTGACTTTCAAGTTTTCAAGGAACTTTGTGACCTTTGCGCCTATAAATTGTGGCATGTTATCGTAGGCTATCTCTTTTGGTATCTCAAATCTACAAATTATGTTCTCCCACAAGAAATCCACCACTTCACGTTCACTGATCTTTTGATAAGGACCTACTTCAACCCACTTAGAAAAATAGTCAGTTAATATCAAAAGAAACCTTACCTTACCAGGGGCCGATAGTAGTTGTCCAACGATATCCATTCCCTACTTCATGAACGGCCATGGAGAAAAAACTGAGTGCAATGGTTCTGC